TGGTGGTGGTGTTTAACAATCAATGACAACTAATCTAAATACAAACTAACATTTCACTTGGTTAGGCACCAGCTGCATTATTGATTAATTAAAATGTAGTTGAGTCATTTCAATTCCAGTCTCTTGTTCCACTTGTCTGATGCAGTGGTGATGAATTGTATTCACTAGCAGCTTCTTTTTTTCGCATTACTTTGCGTTCCGGGTGGAAAACAGAACTTTTAGACTTGAAGCAGTAGTGGTGTTTTTCTTCAACGGGGTGGGGGGTTATCAGGTTCACTGCCAGCCTTCCCTCTTTTCAGGATTTCATCATGAACACAGACATCGGTTAGAGGACCACTGGACGGCCAGCTGTTTCGTCATCGACAGTACGAATCCACTGAGATTCGAACCCAGAAGCTAGCTCTCAGACCACCAATCCAATGGCCTATCCATGAATTCCAACTTCTGCCAATTCATGATTTGGCGTGACTGGCACTAACCAATGTCATCAATGGCGAGTATTTGTCCTCATATCCGGCCACAACTTCCCACTAGAACCCAGGTAACCTATCTACCTACCTGAATAGGTATAGTCACCGCTAGTGAGCATCAGATCGCTATTCAAATCAAGTGTTGGTTTGCAGGGATTTGATTTGACTGGTTTCAGGATTTCACCATGAACTGACATTGGTTAGAGGACACCCCCTTGGAGTTCATTGATGATACTACCACATATACTATACACAAATACACACATACATACATATCTGCTTAAACACCACAATGAGACTACATTATTGTTTCAGATTATAGCAGGGTCGAAATGGTATTACTGACGTAAACAATTAATCATACATCTTACAAACGTCTAGTCAATTGATGATAAATGTTTCTATTTTTTTCTGCTATAATGTAAGTCATGTTGTGTGAACTAGGCGAGGGGAGTAGGGTGGGGTGGGGTGACGAGTGGAGATGATCGACTCTACTCAAAGTGTTGATAGACGAATGACAGAATCAATGAGAATACACAAACATAGTAGATACATAATACTCAGTTTCTTTTTTTTGACTCAAAATCAAAATGCCTTGATAGACAGTTTTCTTTTATTATTATTATTATTATTAAAAAAACAAAAAGAGATAAGGTAGTTGATGAAAAAGAACTATAACGTAATTCATATTTATACAGATATTATAACATTAACATGATAAACACATTGTGTGAGACACCAAACAATGAAAAAGCAACTATCTCATTGGTGAAACCTTTAACGTTAATATTTTACCAAGTAATCCATCATCATTCACTCCCCCTTCCAATATGACAAAGATGCTAAGAAAACTAACACTATAACAACTTCTTAAAAACAAAATTGCAATCGATTCTGTCTGTTGTAGCAACACACTCAAAGAGTTGTTGAGTGTTTTCGACTAAAATAATTGTATAACTCAAATTACACAGTCACCCTCCCTCCCTTCGTTTGTAAATCAAAACTATTCAGATCAAAATATGTGTGTGTCATCCAATTTAATACGATAAATAGTAAATCAAGTAGGCGAGAATAAAAACGAGCTCCTCCAGGGTGTTGAAATCACTCTCTGATTTGGATGGCTAGCAAGGAGCTACCACTGCTACTACAACTACTTGATTTGAGTAGTATACAACAACTACTCAACCCGAGAAAAATTCGATATTTTGATGCGTTAACTAAAACTCAATTAAACAAAATAATATAATTTACAAAATACCCTGCAATGCCTGTGAGGTCAACTATGTACGTCAAGCTAGTAGATCGAGGGTAATCAGATTGTCGGAACATAAGAATTCAGCTAAGGTAAGATTGGTTGACAGCGAGAAGACAGACGAGTAATTTAGAAAAAAGCTCAGCTCTGCATGCATTAACATACAACCACACAAAAGGGTGGGAAAGGGTTAAGATTCTGAAAAGTAATCTATGTAGGTGGAGAAGGACAGAGGTTGATTTCTGAATCCTGATTCATTGAGTCTACACCCAACACGTACAACAGAAATGACTCAATGCGAATACCAGAGATATGCATGGAAGATATTATTACCACCAGTCTCAGTCAGTGAAATTAGAGGAGGATAATAAATAATCTTAAATTGTATTCCATTTCAATTCGCGTATATTACAACAATCTAACAAGTTACTTATAATGACTATAAAAACACTCGTCTTATTTCCCATCTGATTGTATTTGATGAATAACACTCATATTATTATTATTTCTGAATGTACATTATCCTATATTGGTTGATTTTTATTCAAATGTCTAATCATCAATTCCACTCATGTATATAAATGAAGCAAGAAAGTTGTGTGAGTGAGTACCTTGATATGATTATGAGTGGCAATAGTTTGTGCTCGAAACGTGGTCATCAGTTAATAATACTGTGTAACGCTGTGTGATTTATCAAAATAGAATTTTATGCTTAGTGGAATTGTTGCATATATTTAAAACTGAGGATATAACAATTTGATTACAGAAAAGAGGGATGATGTTCGCATTGAAGGAGATTTATATATATATATATATATATCTTTGTTAAAACACTCTGTCAATGGAAACGAACTTGATTATAAGCACTAAATTTTGAGAGTATAAAACTGTTACAATTCTGACATCATCAAAATTGAGTGTTATTCAGGTACTTGTTTTCAGGAATTTGATTATCTTTCAGGTTTCATCATGAACTGACATCGGTTAGCAGACTATTGGATAATCAGCCCTGGAGTACTGGACAGCTGTTTCATCCTTCTCTGTTTTCCTGATTCGCTATAGACTGGGCAAGCATTCTGCCACTGACATACTGACTACTTTAATTCCTTGATGTTGTAACCTATCATAGAATCATGATGTAGATATAACTTCAGATAGAGAAGATGAGTAGTTTGAACAAAGCAAGAACAACAATTGTACCAGAAGATAATATGAGCTCATCTTTTTATTATTTCGAGGATTCTTCTCAACTGGTTACAACCTGAACGATAAAAAATATGAATTACATTACATTAAAGATTTGAACATACTTTTCCACGATCAAAAGGAGTAATTGGTAGGAAGTAAAAGCAGCATTAGTCCGGAATGATTTAACTTATTAAGAGTTACAAACAAAAAACAGAGTTGTATATATATGTATGTGTATAGAAACAAGGTTTAGCTAGGAAGAGCATAACCAAAAAGTATATTACGTAACTAAAGAAAATGTTTTATCTAATAGCCAATAGAAAAAAAGAAGAGAAAAGAACAAGGTAGAGTGAGTCATGTTTAGATGAGAGAGTAGAGTTGTCTAAACAGGAAAAAGGGTAACTCATAAAAGTTGTATATTTTGTTATCACCCGGGCAGTGCAAGATTCACCACTGTCTCTTTCTGCGTACATAGATTTGGTTTAAGTCGTTTGATAGCAATTGCTTCAGCAAAGCGAAGCAAGCTAGGTTTCTTTCTTTCAGGTTATCTACAATATGACCAGTGTCCAATAGATGACGCGCAATCGCACTGTTTAATGCTTGCGGACCTTTCAGTCTCAAGTTCTTTGGTATGTGTTCAGAAATGCGGACAAAAACCTTTCTCTCTGTTCTTCCAATGTATGTGCGCTTTGGCACGTACATGTAAATTGGTAGACACAGTTGGAGGTAACATGAGGTGGGTATTTGTCCACTTTTGACTGTCTCAAACAACTAGTTGTTTGATAAACACATACAAGCTTGGCGGCTGGATATGTTCTTTTCAGGGCAGCGTTCAGTCTGCATCTTATTCTACTAGCAGTATCATCACCTTTGAATGCAAGCTGCAGAAAGATAGGTTTTTTCTCTACTGTGCTGCCTTTCACTTTTTCAACATGACGTCTCGTCTCCCATACTTGTCGATGAATGTTTGTGGGTAACCGTTGTCGCGTAGGCGTTTCTCCACAATGCATAGCTCTTCCTCAATCTTTTCTTTTGAACACACAGCTTCCTTACACGATCAAATAATGTTCTCACCAATCCCTTTTTGTAACTTATAGGGCAGAAGCTTTTGAAGTTAAGATAAACCGCCCTCCAGGTCTCTTTTCTGTGTATATATCTTATGATTTTGCTGTCTCTATCACGTTGGATACCCAGGTCAAGAAAATGAAACTTGTCCCCTTTTTCGTACTCCATTGTATACTTAATATTAGGCTGGGCGCTGTTCAAGACTTTTAATACTTGAGATGCATCATTGAAAGAATTACAAATAACGAAAGTGTCATCGACATACCTGATATAGAAGTTAGTCTGACTGATCGCGGATTTGAACGTTGTTTGTTCTAGACTACCCATAAAAATATCTGCCAGAATCGGACCCAGGGGGCTTCCCATGGCTACTCCGTCAATTTGGCGGTACAGAGTGTTGTTGAACTGAAACTGTACATCTTTGGTGCACATAAGTAGAAGAAGAAGTTCGGCATGTCGACATATAATTTGTATTGTTTCTTCCTATGGGATCTTTGTAAACAGTGAAGACACGTTGAAGGACACCATAAATTTATTTGAGATGCTTAAATTCTCTAATTGTTTAGCGAATTGGAAGGTGTCTTTCAGGCTGTAGACTGCTAATTTACCACGGATTGGTTCTAACATTTCTACTAGCCACCTAGCTACTTTGTAATACGGCGAATTAATCATAGATAATATTGGTCTCATAGGGATGTGTCAGGCTTATGCATTTTTGCTAAACCGTACAGGTAAGGCAATCTGGATTCCTTAGACTTCAGTTCGTTGTATATGTTGTTGTCAATCAACTTCTTCTTCTTCAAAAGTTCTCTTAGCTTCTTTGTAATCCGTCTTTCCATCGATTCGGTGTGATCTTTCTTCGATGCAATCAGTTCGAAATGTTGATGAGTCATTCAGATGAATAGTACTGGGGCGTTTTAAAGAAAATTATTTCGATTAATTGTTTAAACGAGTTACTCATACTTATGTTTCCCATTTTTTTTTTAAAAAATTCGATTTTTCTTTTTCTTTTTTATGCCTCATAGTGTCGAGTTGGGTATAGCTTGTGCATTTGCAAACATGAATTGGATTCTACCTGGTCGGTTAAGTCTACTTATTCGTCCATTGATGGATACTATTCGATGTATGAAGCCTTCTGTTAGTACTGTTAGTATGAATACCAATTCTACTTCTACTAGTCCCACTACTACTGCAGGTGTTCTTCATCCTTCCACTGGCATCATCAGTAATTCTACTACCTCTAATAATAACAACCCTTCGTCCACCGGTGTTGGTAATAATACTGGAAATGCATGTATAGATATTCTGCCTATCGGTACTTGTGTACATCTTCAACGCTTAGCTGCTTGTTGTTTAGCACGTCTTATGTGGTTAGAATGGAGAATGTTGTTGAATGCTGCTAAGTCGACGACATCAACAACATCCTCGTCATCAACAATGTCGAAAATAAATGAACGCTTTTCACATATGATGATGAATACGTCTAAAGCTGCTGCTAAAGTGATAAAAAATTTAACTTCTTACTTGATAGAATCAGATCCAGGTTGGTTTTGGGTGTTTTTCCCTATTAGAAATGAAGATTTAATTTATTTTTATTTTTTAATTTTGATTTTAGTTTGACTCCATACCGTATTTTTGGTACAAGTATGGAATTTTCAGCATGTGATATCGGTAGCCTAAATTTTGTAGGCCGACCATTGATATCAGGTGTGCGTCGGCCGGGGATCGAACCCCAGACCATGTGCATGGTTGGCGAGAGTCTGAACCTCTGTGTCACCGACGCACATTCATTGTGTATCCTCCACATATATGTGTGCGTATTTACCACCTTTTGCTTTCTCATTTATGCAGTTTAACTTAAGAATGGAATTCTGAGGCGTATTCTTTTGTATTTGTCTGAATTTAGTGGTTCCCCCTACTTATGGGAGAAGAAGAACATTTATTTCCTGTGCTTTTACTATTCTGTTTTCATCAATTAATTAATTGATCGATTAAATGTTATTCCTTTTCGTTCCCATTGGAACACAGGGCAGTAGTGGTGTTTATTTTTTACGCGGAGAGGATGTGAGGCTAGCCTCATATTCAATCTTCCCTCTTTCTGTTAGGCTTGTAAACCTGCTAAGGGAGGTAAAAACGTGTGTGCTGACTGGGACTCGAACCCTGGAACACATGTGGTGTGTTTGGCCAGCACTCTGCCGCTGAACCAGCGACACATAAATACAAACAATATTCACGTATTGGTTTGTAGGAATTAGTGATATAAGTATAAAACTTGGGCACTGTGGTAGAGTATAACTCCATTATGGATACGATTTTATTTTGATAAAGTGTCACACAGTGCTCTTCACTGGGTTGACTGTCCATTGGATGACAGTCTAGGGGAGATGGCTAGACCCTGATTCCAAACCTCCAACGACTGGCGTATGAAGCTCACTGGAGCTCACCGGCAAACGTATGGACAAAGGGCTTGTTGGGTGTCCTGGATGTCTGGTCCCATTCAAAAAGGCGTATAAACCGAACTCCGGTCACGGCTGCCAATGGATAGTGGACTCCCTACTCCACTCCTACTGCCTTGTAGGCCACACTTGGTGGTGTAAAGGCTAGAGCTGCACTCTCAAACAAAAGACCGAGCGATTCTGGGGACATCACTCGTACCAAATTCTCATGAAACTTCATGAACTCTCTTGATTCGAGATGTTCATGAAGCCGGCTCATCTTCCCGTAGGAGATAGCCGAAGTAAAGTAAAGTAAAGTATACAGTAATATTAACTGATGATCACGTTTCTAGCACAAATTATTGCCACTCATAATCATATCAAGTCACTCACTCACACAACTTTTCCCTTCATTTATACACATGAGTGAAATTGACTAGATATTTGAATAAAAATCAATATAAGATAATGAACGTTGAGAAATAATAATAATATGAGTGTTATTGATCAGTTACAATCAGATGGGAGGGGACATCTGAGACCCTACGTAGGATTCTTAATAAAGCAGGAATTAGGGTGGCATTCAAACCTACAAACTCACTCAGGCAGAACAAGCTCTGTAGGCTAAAAGACCTGGTGAACCCAATTCAACAAAATGATATAATTTACGAAATACCCTGCAATGACTGTGAGGTCAACTATATAGGTCAGACTAGTAGATCGGGGTAATCAGATTGTAGGAGCATACGAATTTATTGGCTAAGGTAAGAATGGTTGACCCCGAGAAGATAAGTAGTTTAGAAAAAGCTCATCAGTTGCACTGCATGCATTAACACAAAACCACACAATAGGGTGGGAGAGGGTTAAGATTCTAAGAAGTAATCTATGTAGGTGGAGCGCGGGAGAGATTGATTACTGAATCCTACCTGGTTCATCGAGTCTACACCCAACACGTACAACAGAAATGACTCAATGCAAATACCAGAGATATGCATGGAAGATATTATTACCACCAGTCTGTCAAATCAGAGGAGGATAATAAATAATCTTAAATTGTATTCTATTTCAATTCACGTACATCATAACATTCTAACAAGTTACTTATCATGACTATAAAAACACTCGTCTTATTTCCCATCTGATTGTATTTGATAGATAACACTCATATTATTATTTGTGAATGTACATTATCCCATATTGATTTTTACTCAAACGTCTAATCATCAATTCCGCACATTTATATAAATGAAGTAAAAAAGTTGTGTGAGTGAGTGACTTGATATAATTATGAGTGGTAATAGTTTGTGCTCGAAACGGTAATATTACTGTGAAACACTGTGTGACACTTTATCAAAATAAAATCTTATCTATAATGTAGTTGTAGGGATTTGATTGATTGGTTACAGGATTTCACCATTAACTGAAATTGGTTAGACAACCATTGGAAAACCAGCGCTGAATTACTGGAATGCTGTTTCGTCCTAATTTGGGTTCGAACCCCGGTGGGGTATGTACCGCCGACGAGTTCAGTGTACTCCAACGTTTTCCAATGGTCCTCCAACCGATGTCAATTCATGATGAAATCCTGAAAAGAAACACAATAGTTGGATCCTACTTGCATTGACCAGTAGTGCTTTCTGGTCAATCACGTCAAAGTGATCTAAGTAGTAGGTGGTCTTTTCTCTCGTTCAGCGTCAAGCTAGTTGGACGAAGTGGTGATAAGTTAAGCTGAAATTCACAATTGCCAATTTACGCACGTTGAAGAGGTTAAATTCCACTACAGCTCCCTTTAGAAACCGGAATTATTCATATCACAATATATGTTGATCTGCTTGTGATCCCGTAAACAATGACCAAGAAACCAAACATTGATTGATATTATTAGTAGTATGTATATAACAGTATTTCGGTTTCCAAAATTCATTATACTTTCACAATTTTATCGTCTTTCTACACTTGCATTCTTTGATTAATTCACCCGTATATTTCTTGCATTAAAAAAATCTCGTTATATGTGCTAACTGATATAATGAATGTGTTTCTCATCAATGTATAGTTTCATAATTATTTGTTTATTAGATATATAAAACACAAAATAATTGAGCAAAGAATATTCTTTTCGATAAATTCCCCCTCTTCTGGCTCTACAATTATATATGCATGTTTATATATACATAGTATATTCTAGATTGGTAGTCAATAACAATATTAGTGTTTTTTAAATAATATCGATTTGTAAAGTAAGATCACGATGGAATTACACTCCTCTTTTGCGTTCCTGTGGAGCCAGTTACATAGGCCGTACAATCAAGCGTGTTCCTCGTCAAATTTCCGAACATCACCCTGTGTGCTTAAGTAAAGGACAAACAAAATCCATTAATGGCGCTATTCTATCTCATCTTGTGGATACAGAACACAAGATTGATGTTAACCAGGCTTTCAGGGTAATTAACCGCATACCAACAAATCTCAATTTCGCCTTAAGAGTTCGATTACTAAATATAACTTAGGCTGGCTGTTGGGATCCACATTAAGAAACCTAATTTACGTGTCCAAAAGAAGTTAGTTCGGACACTATCCTTACCTTGGCCATCTAGTTTTGAAAGATCCTCGATTTTTGTGGAATTTTCCTTATTGTAGTTGATATTCTATTTGCTACTATATCTTTATTATTATTATTATTATAATTTAGGCATGTATAATGAACTGTAATTGCATTCATCTTACTTAACAAATCGATATTATTTAAAGGAAACATTAATATTGTTATTGACTACTAATCTAGAATATTCTATGTATATAAACATGCATACGTATATAATTGTAGAGGCTTGAAGAGGAATTTATCGAAAAGGATGATATTCTTTACTCAATTATTATGTGTTTTGTAGATGTCTGAATGAATATTTTTGCTATATTAGATATATCACACAGTCGGTGAAACACTATTATTTACTGGATGACAAACTTTCGAATACAATCTAGTATTGTTCATAATCATATCGCCAACTATAACCACACAACTTCGAAACCTTCGTTTTATAATTTTCTGCATTCCTTTCTGCTTGTTATCGTAGGGGGAGTAGAATTTTTCAGATGTCCAGATGGGTGGTGGACAGGTGTTGAATCATTTCTATTACACGTATTCTCTTCGGTTGATTCGATAAATAAAAAGCTCCCGTTATCAATCTCTCTTCCCACCCTGTCATATAATGACAACACCAACAATAGGGAATTTAAGTCGCCATCAGTAGTACTTCCATACAAAGAAGGAACCTCGGAAACCTTACGGAGTATTCTTAACAATGAAAGCAGGAATAAAAGTGATTAGCATTCAAACTATCCACAAACTCAATTAGAAACAAGCTTTTTCGGTTAAAGGATCAATCAGTCGTGTGCAGCCAATTCAACAAAACAATTTGATGTATCTAATACTCTGCTGGAATGATTGTGTCAGATCAAATACATAGGTCAAAGTAGCACGTAGAACGGTGTCGGTCAGTCAGTCAGACTAGTGGAGCACAAAGACCTAGCAGCAAAATCTAGATAAGTCGACTCGAATAAGATAGGAAATGTGGAGAATATTTAGTTCAGCTATAACACTCACTACACGCAATTACGCACACGCAACCATACAATAGGATAGGGTAGTAGGATAAGATGACCGTTTTTTAAAATCTAATGTAACAGGGTGGAGGTGGGAGAGATTGATAACTGAGGCTTTATTTATCGAATTAACTGAAGAGAATACGTGTAATAGGAATGATTCAACACCTGTCCATCCGGATATCTCGAATATTCTCCTACTCCTACGACCACGAACAGGAAAGAATAAAGAAAACTATGAAACTCAAGTTTCGAAGTTGTGTGGTTTTAATTGACGATATGATTATAAACGATAAATAAATTGCGTTCGAAACCTTGTCATCCAGTAAATAATAATACTGTTTCACTGACTGTGTGTGATATATCCACCTAATAAACAAATTAATATGGAATTACACATTACCACAGTGCCCAAGTTTTACATATATATTAACGCGTATAATTTCTTTTTTTTTCTTAAATTTAGAATTACTTCTATCGTCAGTACAAAACTCAAATTCGAAACAATCAGAAACAAATAATCAATTTCATGAAGATCAATTGCTAGATGATGTTAAAATGGTTTGTACTGATCAAATCCCTGTGAGTGTTTGCCTGTATTTTTGTAATTAACTACTTGCTTTAACGAGAATTCCACCTACACTCACTTTACATTTGCTTTTGCACGGTTAAACAGTGAATATGTAATAGTTCTCTTTCTTTGTATATATATGTGTATTCCTACCTCGTGTCTTCCTCAACTACATATCTGCTTTTGACTCAATACCTAGATGCCTTTTGTTAAATAAACTTTCCCTTACGCAGACCGAGAGTCTTGGGCTGTTAACTGGTTGCATTCTTACCTCTCAAATAGAATACAGTATATACTGTGTATAAGGGTGAATCTTCCTCCGCCTCGTTGCTTACTGAAGCTGGTGTTCCTCAAGATGGGTGCTGTTCTCGCTTCTTTTCTCTTTTCTTTCTTCTCACATGACTTAACACTTTGGAATGAAATCAAATCAATCAATTTCGTCAAATACGCTGATGATCTGACCCGATGAGATTCAGCAAGGAGAAAGTTGTGAATGGAGAAGGTGTCCAGAGTCTGGCGGGATAATATTTGCTAATTTCTTGCAGGAATCCATGTGTTCACTGTCTACAATAGTATTAACGAGTTGGTGTAACACCTTACCCGGCCTACTGACGGTTTTTAGTGCCCTACGCAGTATAAAAAACATAGCCTTTCTTAAGTAGCTCGCGGAAGATTAAGTTGGGTTGGGTGGGGAACAGTAAAGAAATATAGGTAACATTAAAGACGGAATGAGAATAGATCATCTTAACTTCCTTACATAGAACGTCAAGCGAAATATCTTTCTGGAAACTAGCAGTAGTTTTAAACTGTCTAATGCGTATGTATTGTTGTTTTTCGAAGAAGAGGGAGAGAGAGAGATTATTTCATGGTATTTTCACTCACTTGTTAATGCGAATATTATTCTTTCGTTCGTTCTTACTTTCTTCTATTGCATAAAAAATTTTCATATAGACTGGTCGATTGGTCGATATGGATAGTGTAACGACAAGTACAACACTGTCATCTTATGAATCACAGTGTCAATCAGCACAATATCGTGGTGCTTATATCGCTTTATCGTGTATCTGTTATACTTTTATTACATTTTATCATTGTGAAGAAATTAATGAAGCCCACTATCAAGTGGCTAACATGTCATCATCATCATCATTATCGTCTTCAAAAGAAGCAGTGAAACCTTTGAATTCACTGAACTCCTGTCAATTAACAAATAACTCATTGAATAGTCTTCGTTTTGGTTTACCAACATTATGGAATATATTTTGGTTGAATCCAATTAAAATTATCATTGATGTATATCGTCCACATATTGCTGTTGTTGGGGGTGTTCGTTCAATTGAAAATGGTAAAATAATAAAGAAAAGGAATAATGAAAATGATAAGTGTAAAGTTAAATTAGAGGAGGAAGAAAAACAACAACAAGAAGAAGAAGAAAGTCATTATTCACTATTGAAAAGATTAACTCATGGTAAGCTGTTATTTTAATCCACCTCTTAGTTTGACTTTATTTGTTTTCAAGTATTGAGTTTTTTTGTAGGGAATGTTGTTTGATTGGATGGAGGCCTTCATCATGAGCTGACATCACAGTTAGAGAGAACCATTGGAAAACCGGCACTGGAGTATTGGACAGTTAGCTGTTTCGTCAGCCCAGTTTGGGACTGACTCTTCAGCAGTACGCACCCCACTACAAGGGGGTTCAAACCCAGGACCTTCTGGTTATTTGTTTTGTTAAAAGATTGAGTTTTTATTGAACAAAAGGATATTTTTTGCGATAACTTGTCTTTCAGGATTTTATCATTCGCTGATATCGGTTAGATGACCATTGGAAAACCAGCTGGGAGTAGTGGACAGCCAGCTGTTTCGTCAGCCTAGTTTGCGAGTCTTTAGTATTACGCACCCACCCCACTACCAGGATTTGAACCTGGTTTTCCAACGGTCCTGTAACTAATGTCAGCTCATTATTAGTTAGAAAAAACAAAAAATTCAGCAAAGAATATCCTTTTCAATAAATTCCTCTTCTGGTTCTACAATTATATTTATACATGTTTAGATACATAGAATATTCTAGAATAGTAGTCAATAACAATATTAGTGTTTTTTAAATAATATCGATTTGTTAAGTAAGATCACAATGGAATTACAGTTTATTAAAGATGCTTTAATTATAATAATAATAATAATAAAGATATTGTAGCAAATAGAATATCAAGTAAAATTAAGGAATTTTCCACAACAAATTCAGGATCATTCAAACCTAGATGGCCAAGGTTAGGATAATGTCTGAACTAACTTCTTCTTTTGGATGCACAAATTAGGCTTGTTAATATGGATCCCAAAGGACAGTCTCAGCAATATTTAGTAATCGAAATCTTAAGGCGAAATTGAGATTCGTAGGTATGCGGTAAATGACCCTGAAAGCATGGTTAACATCAATCTTGTGTTCTGTATCCACAAGATGAGATAGAATAGCGCTACGAATAGATTTTGTTTGTCCTTTGCTTAACCAACTATACAAGGTGATGTTTGGAAATTCGACGATAAACACGCCTAATTGTACAGCCTATGCAACTAACTGGCTCCACAGGAGCATACAAAAGATTATTCTAGAATAATCGTCATGAACAAAATATTGCTGTTTTGTTTTAAATACTATCGATTTGTTAATTAAGATCAGCGGAATTACAGTTCATTAAACATTCATAAATTATAATAAGCATTAAAATGCAATAGTAAATGGAATATCAAATAAAATAAGGGAATTAATATCAGTAAAAAGTTTGAGCATTGTGGATTAGATCAAATAAAGTATAATTATATTTTAATAGTTTACACACAATGATAAGTTTTGTTATTGGTAATATTTCGAGCAAAATTACTGCCCGTGTTCACACCAGTGTTGGAATTGTTTGATTCAAACAATTCCAACACTGGTGTGAACACGGGCAGTAATTTTGCTCGAAATATTACCAATAACAAAACTTATCATTGTGTGTAAACTATTAAAATATAATTATACTTTATTTAAAATAAGGAAATTTCGACAGCAAATTAAGGATCATTAGAACTTTGATGGCCAGCGAGTTAACGACAGTGTCTGAACCAACTTCTTCTTTTGGATACATAACTTAGGCTTGTTGATGAAGATTCCAACGGCCTCAGCAATATATAGTAGACAATCCACATTAAGAAACTCAGTTTATGTATCCAAAAGAAGAGGCTGATTCAGACACTACCACTACCTTTTTCATCAAGGTTCTAATGATCCTTAATTTATTGTTGTAGAAATTTCCTTAATTTTATTTGATATTCTGTTTACTATTACATTTTTATGCTTATTATAACTTATGCATCATCTTTCTTTTTTATTATTATTATTGTTCCCTTGGGTTCCTAGTGGAACATAGGGCTTCAGCTGCACGTCTCCACTTTCTTCTGTCTTCTGCTGTACTTTTCACTTGTATCCATGTTAGTCCATACTGTTTCAACTCCTCTTCACACGATCTCCTCCATGTCACCCTAGGACGTCCCACTCGCCGCTTCCCTTTCGGGTTACACTCGAGCATTGGCCTGACGTACAATGTCACCCAGCGGCCTCCTCAGCGAGTGAGTGTCCAATCCATCTCCACTTTCTCCTGCATATTTGTTGGGTGGCGATTGGTTCTTGTTTTGTTTGTTCCCATAGTTTCTTGTTCGTTATTCTTTCCGGCCATCTGATCTTGAGTATAGAATGAAGACAGTTGTTGTTGAAGGTTTGCAACAGGCTGTTGGAAATATTCTTTGTGACCCGCCAAGTTTCTGATCCGTATAGAAGAACTGACTTGACATTTGTATTGAAAATCCGAATCAGTTTGTTGTTGATGCAGGCTGAGTGACGAAGATTTCCAGATTGGTTTCATGATGTGTGATGAATATGTTTCTCGCCTTCCCGATTCTCGATTTGACATCTTCGTCCGTTCCTCCTGTAGTTGAGACAATGCTCCCTAGATAAGTGAAGTGAATGAAGTAACCTCTTTCAAATCCCTTCCGTTGACGGTGATTGGTGTTGGATGTTGCTGTTGTTGTTGTTGGTTATTTTCATAACCTCGGCCTTGTCTATGTTCACCTGGAGTCCTGTCTTTGCTGCTTCTTCGACCAGTTTGTTGGTTTTCGCTTGTAAATCTTCGATTTTGTGTGAGATCAAACGTAAATCGGTTAGATAACCATTGAAACACCAGCACTGAAGTACAGCTGGATAGCCAGGTGTTTTGTCAGACTAGTTTGGGACTGACTCTTGAGCACTATTTACCCACCGCCAAACTGCCAGGGTTTGCACCCCAGGATCTTCTGGTTACAAGGCGAGCTAGCTCGTAGACCATTAGGCCACTGGGACCTGTTAAACCAATGGAAATTTACCAGCGAATGTCACCACTGGGGAGTATTTGTCCTCACACTCGACCACCTGCCCTAATCCACTAGTTAGTCACGACTTCCCACTAGAACCCAGGTAACATACCTACCTGAATATGGCCAGTCGCCGCTAGTGAGCATCCGATAGATATTCAAGTCAAGTGTTGGTTTGCAGGGATTTGATTTGCTTCAGGATTTTATCATGAGCTGACATCAGTTAGACAACCATTTGATACCTTGTGATTACAAGGTGAGTTAGGTTGTAGATCAATGTCAGCTTCATGACCTGTTTGAACTAGGTTGTGTAGTATCGAACTATTATTATTATTACTATTAATTCCATGGGTTCCGACTGGATCATATGCTGCTGCTGCTGGATTCAACATAGAACTTGCCACCGAAGTGCAGCAGTTCGAGTTGCCACGATCCAATTAGCACACAAAGGTAGACAAGAAAATGAGTGGTGAAGAGAATCAATAGGGTTCTGACAAGTATGAGAGTGAAACAGAATGAGTAATGGTAAAAAGGAACATGAAAGATTACAGAGACTGAATACATCTACGTAAGCCATTGACAACGATTTTGAGCCATGTCACCTATTGTCTCCAGCCTTCATTGATTCTTAGAGTCCCGAGGGCGGACCCCAACCCGGAAGTCTGCATATCCCTACCTGACTCAGTCTAACTGTCAAGGATTTCATGGATTGATGAGGCCATGTTTTTGTTTGGCCAGTGGATCATATGGCTTCAATAACACATCTCCACTTTGTTCTCTTTTCTGCTGTCCTCTTCAGCTTGCTGAACCCACGATTGCCCATCTTCTCTTCATCGCCACACCATTTCTTCCATGTCTCCCTCGCATTGACGACTCACTCGTCGCTTCCCATTCGGATTTCACTCTAGGAATAGCCTGCGCGATATGATTCGACGGTCTCCTCAATGGCGTGTATGCCCAATCCATCTCCATTTTTTTCCTACATATTTTTTGATCAATCAGCTCTTGCTTTGTTGTTTTTTCCATCGTCAGAGTTTCTTTCTGCTAATTATTTCTGACCTGTCGGCCGGCCTGCCATTTCATCTCCAGTATGGAGCCAGCTAGAGAAGTGGGCAGCTGTCGTTAAAAGTCTGCAGTGGCCTGCTGGAAATCTTTTTCGTGACTGACCCACTCTCAGTGCAAGTTTCTCACCCGTATAGAAGAACTGACTTACTGACTTTACATTTTTGTTGAATAGAATCCGAAACTATCTTGCTCTTCATGCTACCTGGCTGGTGGTCGGTCAATTGAAAACGGCTTCATCAGTCAATGAAATAAATCTATAACAGTTAGTTCAAGCCAGCCAGCCAGCCACAAAGAGACGGAATTGTAGACTTCCCTACTGACTTGTTGGGGTCCTCAGGATGGTAAAACTCAATAATGACTGTAGACAATTGGTTATATGTCTCAAAATCGTCGTTGTCAATCGCTGTTTACTCTCTTCTGTTGCTTTGTGTGCTGTATGGAGGGAGAGTGGCAATTTGAACTGCTGCACAACTGTACAAAGTTCTACAGTGAAACCAGTCAGTCAGTTAGTCAGCCGTTTCAGTCCTCTATTGACTTGCGTGACTGAATGTCATAATTTTGGCTTTTTAAATATCGTTATTGAGTGTACTAAGTATTATTATGTACTTATTTATTTTTGTGTTCTTATAAGAAGGCGTGGTTCTTAAAAAAAAGGGTAATTTTTTTAATTTATTTACTATTGTGAAATTATTTTGAAAACTTTCTTCTTTTCTTTCCTATCAACCATACATTTTGCGTTGATTTCATTGATTGTTGATTATTGAATTTTTTGTCTATGATTGGTTTGTGAGGACTAGTTTTGTTTTTTACGAGTTGATCACGGAGGATTGATATCAGTTAGAGAACCATTGAAAACCAGCCAGGGAGTACTGGTCAGCTGTTTCATCAGCCTAGTTTGGGACTAACTCTTCAACAGTAAGCACCCATCACAGGGGTTCGAACCCTGGACCTCCTGGTCACACAGTGGTGTTTTTTCATTCTTTTTTTACACAAATTTTCATCTTGAAGTCAGATTTTGCATTCCTGTCTTTTTCTTCTTCTTCTGCTCCGTCATCAGTTGACGAAACATGTTGATAGTCATTAAAATGACTCACAAAGAGTGAATCCATCTGCGCTGTCATTGTGAACGACGATTTTCATCCATATGACCAATTGTCTCCAGCCAAAACTACTGGTTCTTACCATCCTGAGGATCCCAACTAGTCAGTCAGGCAGTCTCCACCTTCCTACATGACTGGCTGGCCCGCTCTATTTTATCGACTGACTGAAGCCGTGTTTTCTTTTGACCACTACTAGCCAACTTTTTTCCAACGTCATCCATCCTATGTCAGTCAGTCAGCTAACATTTCCCGTTGTCGAGGAATCCGTAACACATGTCCTATCAATCTCTCTCAATCGATGCAGGCAGCTTCACAATCTCATCGATTGATTTCCTCTCCTGCTTACCTAGCACTCAACTGATGCCTCACCCCAATATTGCTCCCCTTATTATTCCTCTTAACACGGAGGATGGAAATGCTGGGAGACACCCATGATCAAAAACAGCTGTCTATGGCTGTCATGTCTTCCACTGCCAATGGACGACCATGTCTCACAGCCATAAAGGAGGACAGAGGGAACTGCTGAGCATTTGGCAGCCAAACGGATATCACGTCTACTAAGCCAGAGATGGCGAAAGTTGGCTTATGCCAAACGGGCTTTGTCTATCCGTGCTGAGAGTTTGTCAGCGAACAACCCTTTGGCTCTAGCTGATGCAATTTCCCAAATTAGTGTGGCAAGTGGTCAACATGCCCCACCTCCTCACTACCTATCACTAAACTTGGTATCAGTGTAACTCAACGGTCTCCTCGGTGGATGATGTTCAATCCATTGCCACTACCGTCGACATATTTATGGGCTGTAAGTCCTTCGTTGGTTCATTGACGGACTGTGTGCCTGTTTATTCTTTCTGATGATCTTATCTTCAGTATTCCTCTGCCTGCATACTGAAGATGATGTGGTCAGAAAGTATAAGCAGGAAGTAATTCTGGCAACGATCGAATTAAGGACGTACAGCGCAGAAAATATGCCGAAAGAAATGGAAACGGATTGAACATACGCAGAGGAGACCGTTGAGTGGAACTTGAATTGCGAACGACGAGTTAGGTGTGGCTCCGAAGGTGATCGTGTAAGTTGTAAATGACAGCTTATGGGCAATTGTGGTGCCGGCTATCTCAAACTGCAGAGAAGAGAGAGAGATAAAATAAAGGTGTATCTCATTATTTCAGTACATAAACATGTGCCCCTGTATTACTAATTTCTGTGAGAAATTGAAGGGAATCATGATTTTCGCTTCTCATTTTCCTACATTTCTACATCTCACTTGTTCCGATTGATACGTACAGTGTTTGCTTTACATGAAATATTTTTTTAACCTACATTCGTGTTTGTTTTCTCTCTGCTTTCTTACAGAAGTCAAGTTAACCACCGCCTCTTCAATGAATGCAAATAGTTTATCGAAATCAGCAGAAAATGAATTACTCACAGGATTGACTTTATTATCCACATGTTTAAATGTTATTCTACCTTGTATTGATCCTGACAGGAAGACAGTAAATCAAGAGGAGGATTCTTCTCCTCTCCGCTGCTGCAATGATGATATATCATTTGAACAAATTGTCTGGTTAGGTTCATTAGTTATACGTTTACCGTATCCTGCTTGTCGTCGTATCGGTGCACGTCTTCTAGCCGACCTGACTTTATTACAACCTGTGCATACATTGAATATTCTTTTGCCAATATTATTATCACTACCGTCATCAGGATCGTCGTCATCGAATGATGGGAGTTTTTTAATGTCTGATTTATCAACAATATGTATTGGTGCATTGGAGACATTTTTAAGTAAGTTTAACGTGATTATGCAATCAGAGTATCTTTTTTCTCTCCATATGATGATCCTTGAAAATCTGATTTAGACTGAGGGAAACACCATACTGCTATTATATCCCCATTCCCAAGCAGTACTGTAACAACAGAAGACAAGGGCCAGGCAACAGATCGTTTATTAAGGAAAATCAACACATATTTATAGATGTTAATGTACATTATTGTAGATTATTGTTAGTAGAAAATACAGTCTTTTGATTGGTTGTTTCTCACAGAAAGTTAACCTTGCATCTCTTTGTGGCTGTGTCAGATCCTCCATATGCTAACTGTATCCGCCTACGCGAAGCCTTTGTTCTCATTTTCTCACCACCAATATTGGGGACATAAACATTGACGTCAATTACTGTCTACCAACTTTGGCCAGCAGCCAGTTCCCACCACACTCGTACCCCCGCCAAAGAATTGCGACTGAAGTTGTTTCGGTCTTCTTGGTTCTTGAGGCTTTGCTCTTTTGTCTTGCTGTCTGGAATCTCGGCGCTTGCGGATGTTCACCTGTTTCTCTGTGTTTACCATTGCGATTGTGTCTGCGTAACCCCATCTCAACGTGACCATATGTCGTCCTTCCCGTTTTGGAAACTGTTTGCCTGACCCTGTCGCACATTGGTAGGTATTTCGCCTCACACTTTCATATGCTGCTTTCTCCCGACCTCTAAGCAGCGTCCCAAGTAGCAGCCTCATCGCTGACAGATCTTGAACGCCACTCGACTGCGAAGAAGCCTTGAAGTCCTGCCCGAAGATCCATATGTCTCCATCAAAAACTGCAGGGTATGTGCTTTCCATTTGTCGGTAGGCAGCGACACCAAATGTAACAACAAAAGACAATGGCCAGGCAACAGATCGTTTATTAAGGAAAATCAACACATATTTATAGATTTTAATGTACATTATTGTAGGTTGATGTTAGTAGTTTCTCACAGAGAGTTAACCTTGCATCTCTTTGTGGCTGTGTCAGATCATCCATATGCTAACTGTATCCGCCTACGCAAAGCCTTTGTTCTCATTTTCTCACCACCAATATTGGGGACATAAACATTGACGTCAATTACTGTCTACCAACTTTGGCTAGCAGCCAGCTTTACCACAGTACGACTTCGCCTACAGATCCCCAACACACTATGCCGGTAACTAATTTTAGTCAAATCACTATCCTAACATTCTTTCTGGCATGGTTAGGACCTGCAGGAATATCAGTTCCATCCAGTGTACCTTGTTGGAGGTCATTGCGGGTCTGTCAGTCAAACTTGCAATGTAACCGCTATCTTAGGTGGCTTGCCATCACTATGCACACTGAATTGTTGTTGCAAACTTGACTGATAGAATTCGATCTTCACCAAACAAAGAACTAGGCTCAGGATATTACTTACTACCGAGTGTCCAGTCAAAGTATCCAATACAGTCAGTCCTACAGGAGGTCTATCACCTGTCCGAATAGCTCAGTGGTAACGTCTCTCTCTCTCTCTGAGTGACGCGGGTTCGAGTCTCAGAAGGGACATGAGTTCCTTCAAGGCTGCAGATATCCCTTGATGACTGGTTGAGTGCCAGCCAACTAGCACGAAATCTAGGTCAGGTGAGGCTTCCTGTGGCCGATTGTCTCCCACAATGTAATACCGAAAATTTGGGGTACACCGCGATGACGAGCCACCTAGTGGCATGATGACAACATTGCAAAATCGACTGATAGAATTCAGTCTGCACTAAAGATACGAGAACTAGATACATTACACCAGTTACTAAACAGTGTCCGTCTTTCTGACGACGGTCAACAAGGACGAAACTTCAATTGTCGAAGGGGCAAAGTTAAACTTTAAGCACCACTAACTACCAATCAGCGAACGACCTTCAACGGACCGATTACATGAAAGAGGGACTACTTTTGATTAAGGAAAACGTATATTTATGGAAGAAAGCATAAAAACTGCATAAAACTGTTACATAGGGTATCTTTCACTTACATGTGACAGAAACGTCTCCCAGTTTAGCATAGGAGTGTCAAAAGAAAAGTTACACCACATTCTGTACATATATTCATCCAAATGACTATAAATGACATCTTTTTGAGATCCATTTATAGCCCTAATCCTATTTTTTAATCTTCCCCAAAATCCTTCTATAGAATTCGTGTGTTTCTCTGTAATTGGATCCACAAAATCTCTAGAATGGTTCACTCTGTGATGAATATATCCAAGAGATGACAGCGAGTTATAACCTTTCCATTCATCAGTATGTACGATGGATCCCTGTATCACAAGTCGAGTGACAATAGGCACTAAGGCAGTAGACTTTCTGTCTGGTATTCTCCCCATGAATCCTTTCCGCAGGGAGGTATCATATAAACCGATCGCCCAAACATTGTTGGCTCGCCCACGACCACGGTTGTATTTTTTCTTCAGTGACACAGCTTCGTCCACGTGTACGACGATACCTTCTTGGCCTAACAACTAAGTAATTCTCTCCATTTTCCATGAGGCGGTCTCTCCTTCCTAAGCAACCCCAAATCCAAGCAATACTGCAAAACCTTGTCCTCATCTAACTGCAAGCGTAACCTCGTTTGATACGAGTTAAGCACTATACAACCCTGAACTCGCGTGCATGAACCTCATTGGAATGAATACTCGAGGTCATTCGCTGATTAGTAGTTAGTGGTTGGTGCCTAAAGTTTAACTTGGCCGTCGAAGGTTTCCTGCCGATTGCTCAGTCGCACTTGTAGGTTTCCTAGAGCAAACGTATAAACGCTTATAAGTCTTGAATTTAATCCGTAAATTCAGCCAATTGATTTGATCACCTCATTACTTTTCTTATTCAACTAATAATATTCTCTCATTATTCATTTTATTTAGCAATTGTAGATAAATTCACCAATATTCAGAATACATCTGCACATATATTTCATAAAAATCCACCAGTTGTTTTAAATGATCCACTATTGGAACCAGATTCAAAGTCATCTTGTTCACCATTATCACTGTCATCATCAACATCAATATCAACGAATGAGTCTTTTAGTTCCACTGAAAAACACGCTCCACTTATTTCTGAATCAAAGACAGCAGATAGGCTTACAGGTGATACAATCAAGGATGCTCCTACTCCTACTGCTACCACTAACAGTAATCCAATGGAATCAGCAACTTCATCATCATCACTGCCTGATAATTTAAAGTTATTCTTACCATATCTTGTTCTTCTGCTGACACCAACTCTTAAATTAATATCAAGTGCTAATCAAGAGATACGATCTGTGGCGGGTAAATTGTTTACAGCACTGCTGAATTTACTGCCATTAGAGGTATGTGTATTTGATTTTATTATTATTATTATTATTACTGGTTTTACGTCGTCTTAATGGTTACTTAGTGTCTTATAAAAGCTATCTGGGGATGCTGGATAGCTGTTTTATCAGCCTAGTTTGGGGTTCGAACCCAGAGCCTTCTGGTTACAAGGCTAGGTAGCTCTTAGACCATTAAGCCACTGGAACCCGATTCAATGGCCCTATTCAAGTAGGTAGTTACTTGAGTCTCTAGTGGGAAGTCGTGACATTCGCTAGTAGTCACGCCTTATCATGAATTAGCAGAAGTTGGAATTTATGCACTGACTGATTGGCCATTGGATTGGTGGGTCCCAGTGGCCTAATGCTCTAATACATGAGGAATATCTCTGAAATAACAGCTAGAATACTGAAACCGTTTGATATAGATATAGCACACAGGCCAGTAAAATCGCCTAATTCGATATTATGCAAACCAAAAGATCCAACAGAAAAAGGGGATAAAATTAATACCATTTACAAAATAAATTGTGCGAACTGTTACAGTTCACACAGTAATGTAACAGGCATTACATTGGCCAAAGTGGGCATCCCCTTCGAATCAGAATCCAGGAACACAAATCAGCCGTGAAAAGACACGGTATGTATTCTTTAGTATCAATGCATGTGGACAATTATGGTCATCAATTTGATTGGGACAATGTCAAAATCTTAGACAGAGGAAACACTGAAAGTGCAGTCAGGGAATTCCTAGAAGCCTGGTACTCAAACGAAAATGCAATTAATAAGCACGTTAATATAGACGAAATATACCAACTGATAAAAAGTAAATCATGCGACGAGAAACTTTAAAATCCAAGTCAATAGAAAATGGTCAATACATATGTAAAGATAGTTACCAGGAGACGCTATTCTATCACTCATGAAGAAAGTTTAAATCATTTCACTTTGTGCTAAATATGGCGCTGAAGATGTTGTCCAGAAGGACGACGAAAGCTCCGCAACTAAACCAATCAGCTCAGAGAACACTATTAATTGCAGGTCTAATAGCTCACCTTGTAACCGGAAGGTCATGGGTTTTAACCCTCACAGTGGCGTGGGTGTGTACTGCCGAAGAGTCAGTCCCGAACTAGGTTGACGAAACAACTGTCTGTTCAGTAGTACACTCCAGTGGTGGTTTACCCATTGGTTGTTTAACTGATGTCAGTTTATCGTGATGAAATCCTTAAACCAATGAAATCCCTGTAAAGCAACACTTAAAATTATCTTATTATTTTATATCGTTCATATATTACTTGATATGAGTCATTGGAATTAAGACACTCGAGTTTTTTTATCATTGGACTCATACTCATCGGACATGCGTATTGATGTTAACATTTGTATAAGGGCACATATCGCACATGATGTGTGATAGTCTCCAAGTTTACGCCATAATAATGTCATAATATTCAGGTAACATCTGTTGTGTGCAAGTAAAAGAATGCCACTTTATAGATTTTCGTCACGACGAACATAAATCATTTAGAGAGAGAGAGAGAGCAGTGGAAACCGGGGAGAATCGGACAGTTGTTCTGTCCTATTTCGAGTTTTTTCAGAATTACTCACCCACTATCTCACCAGGAATCGAACCCCGTAGACTGTCAGGTTACGAGACCAAGCTCGTTGACTATTCAGTAGCCCCTGAATTGAAACTTTGTCATCTTCGTGAAACAGCGTTGCTTTCACCAACATCCACTTCCTCTATGATGACACCGTGTACCCTATGGGTCACGACTTCCGTCTTCAGCTTCAGGAACTCCATCCAGTGGTGGTTATATATTCAGATTATTTGGATAGTTAGAATTCGTTCGTCATTGAATTCTAGTCAAAGGGGCTTGAATACTCAACTAGCGTGATCTTGTAACCTGAAGGCCTCGGAGTTCGATTCTCGGTGGATTAGTAGTGAATATGCACTCTTCTGAGGAGTCCCCTGGTATTTGTCCAATACTCTTCCACTGGTAAATCTAACCTTTGACAGGAAGTCTAACGTTACGACGGCGCCAGAGGTGCCTCAATTTGAAGCATGCCACTGTAGCGTTCATAATGCGGTTGGAAATTTGGTCCGTCACACCTCCATCAGCACTCACACACTAACCCAGATACACGAACTTACCGATAACTTGAAGCGTTTCACCTGCAAGAGTGAGTGCGGGTACAGGCTCCAACCAATCTTGTAACAGTGCCTTGCTCTTAGACGGTGTAAAGCACAAACCATACTTACGGACACTGATCGCCAACTGATTAATTGCGATTTGGGCAGCCTGCATGCTATCGCACAGTGAGACGATATCGTCTGCATACACGAGGTCGAGAAGTCTATCTCCAGGTAGCAGATCTACACCACCTTCACGCACATCCTTCAGAGCTGACTCCAGAATGTCATCGATGACAAAGTTAAAGAGAAATGGAGAGATTGGGCAACCATGTCTAACTGCACTATTGGTTGGGAACAGTGATGATAGCTGGTTGTATGCCCTCACTCTACCTGAGGTGTTTCTGTATAGGGCTTTCAAGATGTTAACAAATTTCTCAGGTACACCCCTCACTAACAGACAGTGCCTGAGCACAGTTCTGTCCAATTAATCGAAGGTAGCCGTAATGTCAATAAAAGCACAACGATTGCTGGCCTTCAATACGTGTGGCGGTGTTCCAAGAACTGATGAAGGCTGACCAATGCACACACAGTCTGAACGAAGCCCAGTCTGCTCTTGACGAATCGACTCCTCACTTTGTTGGTCACAGTCTGCGAAGTAAGACAGCTGGCAATATTTTAGTCGCAGTCGGTAATAAACTGATACCCCTGTAGTTGTCGTATGTGTTACGTCGACCCTTTTTAAAAAAGATGGGGACGATGACAGCTTCATTCCACATTGATGTCACATCCTCAATTTCCCGTACTTTCCTGAACAAACTGGTCAAAGCGAAGGGCGAGATTCTCGCTACCATCTTTAAAAACATCTGACGGGGGGCGGGAAGTGGTCTAGGATTGTCTCAGTTTGCTTAAAACTAATAAATCACGCTTACATCTTCGTATGAGCAATTGATCGGTTGTTTGTCTCACTGCAATACCTGGTAGTTAACGTTGCATTCATATTATCACGACGAGTTCTATAACTTGACATTGTTTCAGAAATGTTCGACTTTATAATATTTGCTGAGATATCGAATGTATTAGTGGTCATCAGTAGTAGTGTGATGGTTTAATGTTTAAACAATAGCGTAATGTCAATTTAGAAGGCAGTATATAATGTACTTGAATAATGTGACCTCTTGAGTTTAATGATTACATTGCAAACTTGATACACAAGATCTGCACAGTAGGGGGAAGATTGAACAACAACAACATATGCTTGCTATCGTAGTTTGAAAATATATAACAAGTTTGATCACGAGTAAATTAACAAACACTTAGTGGATGGGTTGCCGATGGGCTCCCCACTGGGTTCAATTTTGGCTGATTTCTTTCTAAGTAAGCTAGAAAATGGACCTTGGAACAACCTTATCAGTAAGCTGTCATTTTATTGCCGGTTTATGGATATGACACCTTCATTCTTTGTGATAATGATTCGGATAGGAGTACAATAATTACTGAAACCCAGATGGTAGCATAAAAGAAATTTGCATAGAAAAAGTACTTGGACAGGACAATATACACATTTTCACAGTTTCTTTCCTCTCAAGTACAAAAGATATTTAGTAAAGACCCTTAGCCACAGAGTTAGAGCTATATGCTCAGAAGAAGTAATTGAAGATGAATTGAGCATTGTATATGATACTTTGATTGAAAATAGCTATCCCGAAAAATTTATCAAGTAACACATGACAAAGAAAGCGGAAAAGGACTATTCTCCATCCGTAAACAAGAAGCCTCTTTATATACGACTGCAGTTCAAGGGCGATATACCTAGCGAAACAGTTACGAAGAAATTAAGAAAATCAGTTCAAAGAACTTTTAATGTTGGCGAATTACACATCTTATTCTCTACACGACTGATGGTGCTACCTCGACTGAAAGATGAAGTATCTAAACTAGACTAGCCACTTCACATTGTATCTACCAATTCAACTGCACTTGTTGTGGAGCGAGTTATATCGGTCGTTGATCTAGGAACTCGATTTTTCGTGCTCACTCGGGAACATCTCCCACTATGGTTAAGTAAAGGTGCAGTGAAAACCATTAACAGTTCGATATTAGAACAGTCAGTCCAAACCGGCCACAAAGCCAGCTTTGAAGAATCCTTCTCTCTAATATACCGGGTGCCTAATAAAATGCCAAAATCATCGAAGCACCGCATGCTCCAAACAGCAGAGGCTATTGCAATTCGCGTGAAAAAACCAGTGCTTCGTGTGCAAAAGAAGCAAGTCCAGTCAGCCACTACTACTGCCCTGACCGGCCTTCAGTGGAGACTATAAACTCATGAATTTGTAATATTATCTTTCCTAATTTTTCTGACATTCGGTTTATTGTTATGTTGATGCTACTGAACTGTAATCTATCGGTATTATTGATTCGATGTTATTTAAACAACATTAGTGTTGCTGTTAATAACACTAATTCTTTCATTCACTATAATGTATATATAACTGTAGAACCTGATAACGAAGTTATCGAAAAGAGTACTCTTTGTTCAGTATGCATTCTTTTGAAAATTTTAATGGGCATTTTTAATCACTTAGAGAATCATTGAAAAACTTGAAGTACTGAGCAGCTGCTTCGTCTTAGTTTTGGGACTCTTCAGGAGGCACCTATTGTGACCTGGAGTTTTAGTGAGAATTTGTAATCACTAACCTTAAGCAAGTCCCGTAAGAGATCACTTATTCATCTATGACACACTGACTGGCGGAGGGTGGAAATCATGGGTCATTATTGGATTGCGTCTCAGTGCCTGAATGGTCTACAAGCTCGCCTTGTAACTGGAATTTCCTGGGTTCGAACCCTGGTGGTGGTGGGTGGGTGTGTGCGTACTTTTGATGAGGAGTCCCAAACTAGGCTGACGAAACAACTAACTGTCAAGTACTCTCAGCTGGTTTTCCAATGATTCTCTAATTGATGTCAACTCCTGATCGAGCCTGTAACCAATGAAATCGCTTCAAACCAAAACTTGGAAATGGTTTGTTTTGATATCTCTGTTAAGTGGAACTTCAGTAGTTGAAGTTCCTAATCTCATACATTTATTCCCCTTAAGGAATTTTAAACAAAGCAAAAACTACAGTTTTTGCAGAATAAAGTGGTACCATCTTTTATTTCGTTGCCTTCTCGTCAGCTGCTTACAGGCCACAGTCATCATTAAGTATATCTACAAAAACAATTTTAACATACTTGCACAGAGTTCATTTTAAACAAAAATCAATCGATCAATATACGCATACACTAATAATACATATATATATATATATATATATATATATATATATATATATATATATGCAATATTAAACAGTATTCCGAACAATAATAATCATACACAATGGAAAATTTATAGCATCTTGCATTCGGATGAAAAATATCCAGTTACCAGGGCAAAGAAAGACTGATAACTGCTTCTTTCTGAACAGTTACATTGAAAGGACAGAAGGAAGGGCATATCTACGATTTTCTGAACATGTACCAAAAAGCTTATTTCTAAAGGGAACAAATGTTTTAATTAGTGCCGTTGCCAGGCAGATTTTTGACACGGGTCATGAGGTGGACGTCGAAAAGTCGTTCAAAATTATCAATAAGCAAAAGAGCTCAATTCTCCTTAAGTTTGCTGAAGCCATTTCCATCAAGCGCCTAAAACCTGATTTGTGCGTTCAGAAAGAAGCGGTTATCAGTCTTTCTTTGCCCTGGTAACTGGATATTTTTCATCCGAATGCGAGATACTGAAAAGTTTTCATTGTGTATGATTATTATTGTTCGGAAGTGTTTAATATTATATATATATATATATATATATATATATATATATATATATACTTAATGATGACTGTGACCTGTAAGCAGGTCATGAGCAGTCAACGAAATAAAAAAGATGGTACCACTTTATTCTGCAAAAACTGTAGTTTTTGCTTTGTTCAGGTTCCTAATCTCATGGATGATAGCTTGATACTCAGTTTAACGTTTTCATGATACGCGATTGGATGGTACATTGTAATCAGGAGTCCGTGAATCAAGTAGGTTTTGAATAATACGCTGATTCTAGTAGCTAGGCAATATATATCAAAGAAGCTCAACAACCACAACAGCAACAACGGTGCCCACTCTACCTACATCAGCATAAGTGGTAGCTGGCTACTACTTAATATCAGGTCTCACATAATATTTGTGGCTCATTGCCTGATCTATTCCGGGTTATTGAGTGACAACAAACCTCGCGCTTCTAATTTGTGTAGGTTAGAAGAAGTCAAGGTGTTTCTATTTTTTTATTCCTTTACGTTCCCAGTGGTGGAACATAGAGCTTCAAGCTGCAGACTTGAAGTTTCGGTAGCAGTGGTGTTTTTTTCTTTTACGGGATGGGGTTGCTAGCCGCCTCATGCCTAGCCAACCTTCCCTCTTTACCAGTGTATTATTACTGGCTTAGCGAGGTAAACGGGTGCGTCCGTTGGCCGGGGATCGAACCCCGAGCCACTTGAGGCGTGGTAAGCGAGCATTCTACCGCTGTATCACCGGCGCACATAAGGTGTTTCTATGCTAAAATATTATTATTCCATAGTGTCCACGTTTTGATCCCCGGTTGACACACTCCCCAAACCTCGCTAAGCCAGTAACAAGACTGGTAAAGAGGGAAGGTTGGGCATGAGGTGGCTAGCAATCCCATCCTGTAAAAATTAAACACCACTGTTACCGAAACTTCAAGTCTCTAGCTTGAAGCTCCTATGTTCCACCACTGGGAATATAAAGGTATTAAACCTTTAGCCGAATAGTGTCCACCTGTTTATTTGAATCCTATTGGCTACTTCTGTAAAGTCGTCAAAGGTGTTGTTTGTGTGTGTGTGTCATTCTCATTTCATAATCTCATAATCATTCTTTTTTTCTTCTATAGGCATCTATTCCAAATCCTGTGAACATGAAAGAAGAATTTAAACGGGTCCGAGGGGAACAACGTGAATTCATTGACAGTCTGCTGCATCCTAATCGTATACAAATGTATAATCTACCGATAAAGATAAATGCCACACTACGATCCTATCAACAGGTATATTATACAACACTCATCTTTGTTTGTGTAGATGCCTATTTTATGTGATTTATTGTCGCTTGCTTATATCAATGTATAATATTTGAAATTCCGGTGGTATAGCGATAGCATGTTCGTTTATCACTCTCATGGTTGGGGAATTGGATTCCTGGCCCCCCTCCTCACCGCCTTGCTGCTGGTGGTAGCAAGCTTGGCAAAGATGGAAGGTTGGTCTTGGAGTTAGCAACTTCAACTCGGAATCCAAAAGAATCAAACAAAAATCGTATTACAGCATACTGTCATGTTTGGCGATTTCAGTCGTGTACGTCGGTGGCACAGTGGTTAGGACTCTCGCCGACCATTCACATGGTCCGGGGTTCGACCCCCTGCCAACGCACGTCTGATATCTATGGTCGGCTTGCAAAATTAGGGCTACCGATATCGCATGCTGAAAATTCCATATTTGTTCCGAAAATACTGTCTGGTTTCAAGCTATAATCAAAAAAATTTGGGAGTAGGAGTCATAGTTATTCGATACTCGATCCCAAACATCTCGGTGTCAAATCATAGTAATATTTTGTTGTTAATTTGTCGATTGTTTGAGTAGTTTCAAAATCACTCACCCACGTACGTTACATAATTTTATTGACTGGGGCGCAGGTTACAGTGTTGCCGTAGTGAAGATAATCTCAGCAAATTGCGATAAAACAAAACAGGCCTGAGAGTAAATGAACATTGAAACACATTTTTCTCTTCCAACTGATGATATCGACTACTTGAGCTGTGTTTGCACAGCCTAAAGATAGCGGGTGAAGTGAAAGAGCGTGTTGACCATTTCACTTATTTTGAGAAGTTGCGTCAGCCAGCGCCAACGAGCTGATCGCTGACGAAATCTCAGCACGGATACAGAAGGCTCGTTTGGCATATGCGTCTGCCAATTTACGCCATCTCTGGATTCGTAGACATGATATCTTATTGGCTGTTGACCAAAGGACGTGTGTATTGCGCAGCAGTCACTTCGCTCTATCCTCCTTTATGTTCCACTGTGAGTGAGAAATGACCCCCATTGGAAGTGGAAGAAATGAAAAGCCTGGTCAGTTAACTGTCTTTGATCATAGGTGTCTGCATTCTCCCGTGTTAGGTAGTGGTATAATAAGGTGAGCGATATTGAGATGAGGCATCGGTCGAGTGTTACGTGAATAGTTGGAGGAGGAAATCAATCGACGAGGTTTTGAAGCTGGCTGCGTCGATTAAGAGAGACAGTAAGTGGGGAGATGTGTTACGCATGACTAGTCTTGCGTAGGCAAGCCATCGATCGATCGCCTTCCTCGACAACGGGCAATGTTAGCTGACTGACTGACTGGTATAGGATGGATGATGTTGGAAAAGAGTTAGCTAGTGGTGGTGGCGGTCAAACGAAAACATGGCTTCATCGGTCAGTCAATGAAATAAATCCATAACACTTAGTTTAAGCCAGTCAGCCAGGCACGTAGGGAGGTGTAGACTTCCCGACTAACTGGTTGTTGTCCTCGTGATGGTAAGAACCAATGGTGGCGGCTGGAGACAATTGGTGATATGGCTGAAAATCGTCGTTGTCAATGGTTGACGCAGATGCATTCACTCTTTGTCACCTGTCAGTCATATCCAGTATAACTCTATTGTTTTTCCATATCAGTCTTCTTTTTCCCTGACTCACACTTCTGCTTATTTTCCCTCTCTCTTTACTCTCTTCTCTTGCTTCGTGTTCTACATGGGGAGGGGGGAGTGTGGCAACTGGAACTGCTGCACATCTTTGCAAAGTTCTATGTTGTAACCAGTTAATCAGTCAGTCAGTCAGTCTGTAAAACACAGTTTACACGAGGGAAAATTGTAGCTATATAAAGCCAGGGAGTACTGGACAGCTGTTTCATCCTAGTTTTGGGAATCATCGCCAGTACGCACCCACTGCCAGGGTTCGAAGCCATGACCTTCTGGTTACAAGGCAAGTTCATATACAATTCAGCCACTGAGACCCGATTCAATGGCTCATGAGTTCTAACTTCTACCAATTCATGATTTAGCGCGACCCCAACCAACGTCGTTGGTGGGACATCCATCCTCACACGTGACATCTGGATGGACCTCAGTGGTCACGACTTCTCACTAGAACTCTAGGAAACTCCGTTCTGTAGGAAGTCACTAGCGAGCGTCAGATTAATTTTCTATAGTTTGGTTTGTAAGGATTAGTTTTGTTTTCAATGGTTCTCTAACTGATATCAATCCGTGATCAACTCGTAAAAACAAAACTAACCCTTGCAAACCAACCTATAGAAAACTATATAAAAGCCTATAAAAGTATAATTATGATGCTAGGTCAATAAAGAAACTGAAATAGTGAATGAGGTTAGTGCAAATGTATTACGTAATAGATTATTACATTAGATTTACAATTTTGTCTCTCTATTACTGAATTCTCAAATATGCTTTCAACCGTGTTTAATCAGCATTTCGTCTGAATCTCTATTGGGACATATAGAAGGAAAGGCGTTCAGTGTAGAGTTACTCCTTTCAGTGATATTATTCTCAAATTGTACAATCGTATATACATATATGTATATATATTTCTTATTTCAAATATCTCTCCCGTCCATAGTGATTCGTGCTTGTTGTTTTTTAATCGTCGGTCGGTGGTGGGTATTTTGACCACCTCTTTGACCTCTTCTCCGTGTTCATTTGAAGTCTAGTCTCCATTGTTGCCTATGAGTCTTTGAGCGTGTGTGTGTGTGTGAGATCACTAAGCATCAATCGTCCGCCAAGTCCAGATCTTCTAAATCTTCTTCTTACCAGTTCAACGGATTCCTCTGTACTCGTTCCCTACAGTCTGACACATGTTCCAGTCTACCACAATTAGGAATATTATCGTTGTTAGTAGGCAGCCTTTTGATTTTTGATTAGAGCTTGAAACCACACAGTATTTTTGGTACAAGTATGGAATTTTCAGCATATGATATCGGTAGCCCAAATTTTACAGGCTGACCATAGATATCAGGTGTGCATCGGCAGGGGATCGAACCCTGAACCATGTGCATGGTCGGCGAGAGTCCTAACCACTGTGCTACCGATGCACAGCTTTATCGTAACAGTGAAAATATTCATTCAGACATTTAGAAGACGGAAAAAAATTTGAGCAGAGGATATTTTTTTGTGTAAATTCCTCTTCTGGCTCTACAATTATATATAAACGTATATCTATATACACAGAATATTCTAGAATAATCGTCATTAACAATATTGGCGTGCTTTTTAAATAATATCGATTTGTTAAGTAAGATCACAGTGGCATTACCACATTTTAAGAAAGATGATGCATAAGTTATAGTAATAAGCATAAAAATGTAATAGTAAATAGAATATCAAATAAAATTAGTGGAATCTCATTAAATCCTTAATGGCCAAGAGGCTAAGGAAGGTATTTGAACCAACTTCTTCTTTTGGATACATAGATTAGACTTCTTAATTAAGGTGGATTCCAACAGCCAGCCTCAGCAATATGTAGTAGACGAACTCTTGAGGTTAAATTAAGCTTAGTTGGTATACGGTAGATGACTTTGAAAGCCTCCTTGTTTACATCAATTTTGTGTTCTGTATCCACAAGATGAGATAGTATAGAACTATGAATGGATTCTGTTTGTCCCTCACTTAACCACTATGCAGGATGGTGGTGTTAGGAAATTCGACGATAAACACGCCTAATTGTACGACCTATGCAACTAACTGGCTAACTCCACAGGAGCAGTCAAATTGGTAGGGTAGATACACACAGAAAGAAGTGTCGAAATTAGACAGTTTATCTCTAACTACTCCTGAAGACAAAATAGGGGTGAGGGTGGGTAGTTTTGAATACACAGCATACTTGAGGAGCACTGACTACTGTTCATTCCACCGCCACATTCCGTAAGCGTTGTGTTAGTGTCTCACTGATGTTATCATCACCGAGGAGGTGAAGTTGTAAGAAGAAGGCTTTCCTTCCTCGGAACTGTTGACTTTTGATGCATATTTTTATCGATGAATTTTTTTTCCTGGGTGAAACCGTTCTCACTTCATTGAGACATTCATCAGAGTAGCGTAGATTGCTCTTGCTCTGTGATGGACCAATCACTTTTTATTAGATTGCGTTTGTATGTCGAAGTCACGAAGCTGTGAATAGATGAGTATACTGACAGTCAGTCAGTCAGTCATCTTCTTTTTCTTATGCTAATTGTACCGTCCTCTTCTCTAGTCGATAAGGACGTCCAGGAATGATATACATGACTAATATTTATGTTACTATTGTAACTAGTGTATTAATAAGCACCCGCATATGAATAATTATTGGCAAAACGTTGCACTGTCGCTAAATCTTTATTTTTAAAGAAGCCAAATGCACGCACGCACATTTTCTTCTTTAATTATAACAAATTGTGTGACCTTATCTATTATTATTCATCATACCATAATATCAGGCATAATCAGTTGCAGTGCGTGGTGTATGTGTGCGTGGGTATTTTTTCTCTAATTATTTCGTTGTTTCTAAGTCTTTGGAAAAGGACTTGTGTGTAGGCAGAGTGGTATCTCTCGCTCTCTCTCTGATTTATCGTATAATTATACAGGTTCTTATTAATAGCGCAAAATAGTATTACTTTTTATTAGTATCATTATTGGCCATAATCATAATCGTCGTTTACAACACCATGGTTACTGCTACTGTAACAACAGAAGACAAGGGCCAGCCAAACAGATCGTTTAGTTAGGAAACCAACAGATATTTGTAGATTTTCATGTACATTATTATAGATTATTGTAAGGAAACAAACACAGTCTTCTGATTGGTGGTTTCTCGCTGAACGTTAATCTTTCATCTCTTTGTGGTCGTTTCTTGAAGTTCAGATTATCTATCTGAAAATTGTATCCGCCTACGCAAAGTTTGCTGTGTGATTGGTTGTTGAGTAGTCAGTCTTTGTTCTTGTTTTTCTCACGACCAATATTGGAGACGTAAACAT